CTTTACAGGGAACTGTACTATCTGGTCATCACCTGGGGCTACTAGTTTAAGCCTACTTATCGGTTTTTATGAACCTGCACGTAGCCCTAAAACCTTAACCCTCAACCCTAAACCCTAAACCCAACCCACAGCACCCATGAACTGTCGAGCTCACAGGTCCAAGTGGCATGAAGAAGGGCCCAGGACGCCCCATCGCAGAAGGGGGGCAGCTGCGAGTGCACCTCTGCGCCAGGTGCGAAGATCAGCTGGCGCTGTGCAGTGAGCCCTGAACGGGAATATGAGGTCCTCGGGTCAGATATTTCTGAAAGAAGGGTAGGGTTTAGGGTTTAGAGTTTAGGGTTTAGGGTGTAGGGCTTAGGGTTTAGGATTTAGGGGGTTAGGAGGGTGTAGGGTTTTGGGGTTCATGATAGAACCCTAAACCCGAAACCCTCTGCCCTAAACACGAAACCCTAAACCCACCAGAAGCCCCGAAATTACACAAAGCACGCTGATGAACAGCGCCCCAGGGTCAGGTTGCGATAGCCGCCGTTGGGGGCGTAGCTGCCAGCCACCATGAGTGCTCCAGGTACCTCAAATCTAATCTCGTTCTTCTCCCTGAGCCCTAAACCATGAATCAAAGAAATCTCCAACATCCAGTAGGCTCTATAGAATATGCTCAGAGAAACTAGGATACCCCCGAAACCCTAAACCCTAAACCCTAAACCCTAAACCCTAAACCCTAAACCCTAAACCCTAAACTGTAAACCCTAAACCCTAAACCCTAAACCCTAAACCCTAAACCCTAAACCCTAAACCCTAAACCCTAAACCCTGAATGAGCCAGGCACCTCCAGCTGCAGCTCCGCCGAAGTCTCCGTGCAGTCGTTGACACGCAGCAACACGGTACCGGGCAGCTGCTCAAGAACAGGGCCGTCACCTTGGGATTTAGGGTTTAGGTTTAGGGTTAAGGGTTTAGGGTTGCAGGGTTTAGGGTTTAGGGTTTAGGGTTTAGGGTTTAGGGTTTAGGGTTTAGGGTTTAGGGTTTAGGGTTTAGGGTTTAGGGTTTAGGGTTTAGGGTTTAGGGTTTATGGGTTTAGGGTTTAGGGTTTAGGGTTTAGGGTTTAGGGTTTAGGGTTTAGGGTTTAGGGTTTAAGGTTTAGGGGTCAGCTGCTCAAGAACGGGGCCGTCACCTTGCTGTTGCTCGGCCGGGAACAAACGAGATTGCCGTGACGATTTGCCTTTCTATTGCTTTGAGTACTATTCCGGCCCAAAGCCCTACAAGGCCCTAAGCCAAGCCAGCAAGCCCAAACCTCAAACCTAAAATAAACCAAAACACCGAGTCACTTGATTGCATCCAGCAGAGATCATCCGCGTGGTAGGCTGCTCCGCAGCTTTTCTCGCGGCGGCACTTCAGCAGGCACGTCGCCTGGCCGAAAGAGACCGCTAAACCCTAAACCCTATAAGCCCAGATCCGAAGCCCTATAACCCGTAGATCCTAAACCCTTCTCAAACCTAAGCTCTACACCCTAAGAGCGGCAGCCTAAACCAAAACCCTCCACTCAAAAAACTGACGGGGCTAATGTTCAGTGACCCTGAAGCAAGCACTGCACCTTCAGGGTTTACGGTTTAGGGTTTGGGGGCCCTCAACCCTCAACCCTAAACCCTAAACCCTGAACCCTGAACCCGAAACCCTGAACCCTCAATCGCAACCTCGCCTCGCATCCGCTGACGTCCGTAGACCCCAGGGACAGGCAGGTCGTCTTCCGCCATCTCAGCGGCTTGGGCAGCTGCGCGGGCACCCAACCTGGATCAGCAGGAGGTTGAGGGTTTTGGGGCCATTAGGGTTTAGGGTTTAGAGTTTAGGGTTTAGGGTTTAGGGTTTAGGGTTTAGGGTTTAGGGTTTAGGGTTTAGGGTTTAGGGTTTAGGGTTTAGGGTTTAGGGCTTGGGGTTTAGGAGGCTTTTGAGGGGTTCCAAGAAGTGTAGAAGACGTTGGGGCCGATGAGCTTTGGGAAGGGAGGAGGGTGTTTGAGGCTTCGTGTCTTTCTACATGAGGTCTTGTCTGCAAGGCCCACTTGGAGGTTCATGAGGTTCCTGGTACTTATGAACCAATTATGGCTGTACATATAACCCACTTATAAGCCCCTTAAGTGCCCCAATATAGCTACAAGTACAGTTGTAAGTACAGTATCCTAAACCCTAAACCCTAAACCCTAAACCCTAAACCCTAAACCCTAAACCCCTAGTATAATTGGCTAAAAAGTACCATGAACCTCCAAGTCGGGTCTGGGCTTCGCGGGATGCCCCGAAAGCGCTTGAGAAGTGGCTCCGCTTCCCAGTTCACCCATTTTGCGGGAAAAACAAAAAAGGTTTAGGGTTCAGGGTTTAGGGTTTAGGGTTCAGGGTTTAGGGTTTAGGGTTTTGGGGTTTATAGGGTTTAGTGTTTAGTGTTTAGTGTTTAGTGTTTAGGGTTTAGGGTTTAGGGTGTAGGGCTTAGGATTTAGGGTTTAGTGTTTAGGGTTTAGGGTTCAGGGTTCAGGGTTTAGGGTTTAGTCATTCATGGTTTAGGCTTGGTACTGCCGCACAGGAGCCTTTTCAACTAGCACGGGTATTCTGGGTAGTTCATGTTACAAACATGAAGGATGAGGGGATGACGGTGGTGGTTATGTAGGCTCCTGTGTTGCCCCCCAAAAAAAGCACACCACAGTCCGGGAAAGCGCTGAGCATGCTGTCAGGTGACAGGTGTCGTCCACCATCTGGATGGACACGTTGGCCACGGGAAGGACTTTGTCATAGAGGCTGCCTAACACGACATCTCCCAAACATTCGCCCGAAGCCCCCAGACCCTGAACCCTAAAGCCGAAACCTGGGATGTTCCCCCCTAGACTAACAGTCCTCAATAGGGATTATAATGAAGGGGGGTACGATAATCCCTACTAAGGACTGTTAGTATAAGGGGGAACAGCCCAAGCCTAAACCCTAAATCCGGACTTGAACACTTGTACTTAGGCCCTAAACCCACAGCCCTCAGTCCAAGAGCAACCTGGGAATTCAACAATATGGGTTTTTTGTGCATTCAAGGGTCAATGAGGCTAGAGAGAGAGAGAGAGAGAGAGAGAGAGAGAGAGAGAGAGAGAGAGAGAGAGAGAGAGAGAGAGAGAGAGAGAGAGAGAGAGAGAGAGAGAGAGGAGAGAGAGAGAGGAGAGAGGGAGAGGGAGAGGGAGAGGGAGAGGGAGAGGGAGAGGGAGAGAGAGAGAGAGAAAGGGAAAGACTTTACAAACACTCTCACTGAGCCGGGGAAGCCCCTGACTTCCTTTCAGGCACATCGAGCCTGCATCTTCGTTACGGCTTAGGCTTAGGGCTTAGGGTTTAGGGTTGAGGGTTGAATATTTAGAGTTTAGGGGGGTCAAAGCCCTGAACCCTACAACCCCAACATAAAGCCCCAGACAGCCCTTGGACCTCAAACCCTAAACCCTAAGCCCTAAGCCCTAAACCCTAAACCCTAAACCCTAAACCCTAAACCCTAAACCCTAAACCCTAAACCCTCTAAGCCCTCTCTAGCCTAAGCCCGCAAACCTCCGCGCCGTGAGAGAGTTCAGGGCAAGCCCTCTAAACCCTTAACATAAGTTATGAACCCTGATCAGCCCTTAAAAACACTTAGAACACTTGAAATCCTTCAATACCAACTTAAACTAAAACCCTTAAAAACCCTAAAACCCTAAAACAAAACCTCAAAAACTCTGAAAAACCCCTAACGCCCTATTAAAACCCTGAACAACCCGTAAAACCCTTAAAACCCCTTAAACGCCCTTAAAAGCCCTTAAAAGCCCTCGAAGCCCTCAAAGCCCTCTCCAAGCCTCCCAGTGCGACCATGCATGTCACATTGAGGCTGGCGCGGCCAGCAGCCTCAAGAGGGTTTAGGGTTTGGTGGTTTAGGTTTAGGGTTGATAGCGTTTGTCGGGTTTCTGGGGTTCCTGGGCTTCATTCGGGTTTAGAGGGTTCATAGCGTTCAGGGTTTTAGCCTAGTTGTGCAGAAAGAAGCAACGAAGGACAGATTGAAAGAGACAGAAAGGAGCTTGGCCTGGAGCTTCATAAGATCGGGGTTTGGTGGTACTAATGAGTGAAGTTGCTTAAGGTTGGCTGCCCGAGGTTTGGGGCCCTAAGCCCCAAACACTAAACTCCAAACGACCCTAACCCCTAAACCCTAAACCCCAAACACTAAACCCTAAACCCTAAACCCTAAACCCTAAACCCTAAAACCCTAAAACCCTAAACCTAAGCTCCAAACAGAATCCCTCGCCCGGCCTGCGGGAGGTCCACGTTGGGGGTCCCGGAGACCGTACCGCTCTGCGGGTCCACGCTGAAGGCGACCTCTTCAAGGACAGCAGTTTAGGGTTTTAGGGTTTTTGGGTTTTAGGGTTTTTGGGTTTTGGGGTTTTAGGATTTTTGAGTTTTTGGGTTTATGGTTTTTCCGGTTTTAGGGTTTAGGGTTTTGGGTTCAGGGTTTGGGGTTCCCTTTCACTCCTTTCTAAGGGGGGCTAGGGATTTCGGGGTTCAGGATTTAGCTGCTGGCTTCTTTGGTAACAGATGGCCTAAGGTTGAAGGCCTGGGAGTCAGCGAAAGCCCACTGGAAGCAGCAGGTGACAATACTGGCTCATGGGCTAGCCTGCCGAAACCCCGAACCCTAAACCTTGAACCCTAAACTCTGAACCCCAAGCAGAATATCTAAAGGGATACTTGGGGTAAGCAGCAGCTTCCTTGGCGCTGACTTCGGAGTTTGCATGCAGGGAGGATTGCTGTCTTGGTTTAGGCTCTCTCGTGGTCTCCCTTGCTTGAGACACCGTTGGAACACGGGAGGATTCTACCCCCCAAAGCGCTAGGAACATCTCAAGCGCTGCTAATAACCAGCACTTTGGCAGGTGAAGGACATGTGGTCTCAACACATGAAATCTGTCTGCAACAATGCCCAACTTGAGGTCCATGCCATTTATACAGGCCCCGCGCCCCACCAAGCTCTCATGAGGTCAGAAACGAGGGCAGAGTCGTCTGCAAAGATTACGACATCCAGGGTTGACGAACGCCTCGAACTCCCTGATGTCATGCTCATGGTATGTTAAGCCCAGCATGTCCAAGTAGGCCACTTCTGCAGTTTGTGAAACTCCCAAGCCGCTGCTCTTTCTGGCGGCGGCTCTGGCGTCATCGTTGCGAAGCTGGTCCCACTTCATCTTGCCCTTTCCAACCTTATCTGTGCAAATGACTGCGTGTTTCTCGGCGTGCTTTCCTGAGTGCTTGAGTGTTCCAATGCTCTGCAACTACTTTACGAGTTGGTGCAATCCGATGGTCGATAGCTAGACATGCTGCATAAAGAGCATATCATAGTGTAGCTCACGCTTCACAACTGGGCGGACCAAACCAAACCAATGCAAGACATGAGCAAACTCAAGAAAGCAACCATGTCCTCGAAGAAGAACACATGCAGAGTTTGATTTTGCTTCGCGGCATTCTGAACGTTCCTCCTCCAGTCTTCGAACCACTGGCAGCCCCAGGGAGCGCGTCCTGAATTTTGTTTGCAGCACTCGTGCGCCTCCAGCAAAGCCTGCTGGTGCTCCAGCTGCCATACACTTTCCTCGGGTTCAATCTCAAGCGCACCGTTCAAACCCTAAAACCTAAACCTCAACAAAACAACACCTGCCAGGATGCTCGTTGATCTCGTCTGATTAGCAGCTGCTGGCCTCTGTGACATGTATATCGCGTTTAGGGTTTAAAGCGTTTAGGGAGAACCTTATTAATTACTGGTTGGGTCATATCAGCCCGACCGTTTGAACCAGGGGAAGATGGGACTGGGAAACTATTCAGAACCAAGCATATTCAATGCTTCACATCATTCAGGAACACAACCGAGTGGCCCATTGCTTCGGCATCCTCCGACTTGAATGCCAGTTCCTCGTCCGACAACTGACGGGTGGTGTTGTCAACGACATTCAGATAAGTGTCCGCGGGCAAGTGGCCATAGAGCATGTGACACCAACACTGATTTGGCGCATCAGGATTTGTGAAGGCATGCTTCCCAAGCCCGGAAGCCTTGTCAGTCAAAAACACACATGCCAATGAGCAGACACGATCGGTGGCGACGGAGACTGCGCGGTCCCACCTCGGCTAGATATGGGCCACTCTTTGAAGCAAACAACAACTTTCGAGGACCCAGACTGATAGCTTTGCAATGTGCCGTTCCTGCTGCTTTGCAACCTAAGCCAAGATTTCAACGGATGAAAAGCTGACATGCATAGTTACACAAAGCCTCTACAATGCGACAAACCCCCAAAAGCTGACAAGCCACTCCTGGGCATATTTCCCGGGGAAGGACACAATGCAACTCGATGCGCTCATATTAATTTTCCCTGGGAAGGCTATGCGCTTTGACGTTAGCCCGAAGCCAGTCACGAAAGCCTCGAAATCCTTGATGTCATGCTCGCAGTACTTCAAGCCAAGCTTGTCCAAGTAGGCAACTTCAGCAGTCTGCGAGGCCCCAAGACCACTCATTCGTCGTGCCTGAGACCTCGCATTATCGCTACAAAGCTGATCCCAGAGCACCTTGCCTTGCCCAACCTCAGCAGATCAAAGAGCTGCGTTGCTTTAGGGGAATCTTCGTCCTGTGCACCGGCAGATGTGTGACAGGATTCACGGAAAGCATGCGCAAAGCAAACTGAGAAGGCGACGTTGTTTTCAAAATAGAACACGTGAAGTCGTTGTTTGTGCATGACGGCAAGATCAAGGTTCCGCCTCCACTCTTCGAACCATTTGCAGCCCCAAGGGGCGCGTCCGCGATTCGCTATACACAGTTCCCGGGCACTTATCAAAGCATGTGCCAGCTCTTCCTCCCATTCGAACTCCTTAGATTCCACTCCCTGCGTTGGGAGATCAGAAAAGTGCACCTTCTGCAAACAACCAAGAGTTTGATCCATTTCCATTACTCAGGTGCAAGCAGCTGATTGTGTGTCTCTTATCACCAGATGCTGACCTGAGTTGATGGCCAATGAGACTATTAGCGGTGTCGGGCTTAAGTCACAAGTCCGCTAACACTCACAACTCAATATGCTCCCCTGCACAACACGTCACCCATTGCTTCTGCACTCTCCCTTCTAGATTGCAGTTGCTTCGGCGTCAATTCGAACATGTCACAGACAGACAGGTAAGTCGTTGCGTCCATGTGTCCATAAAGACAGTGACACCAACACTTACCCGGCGTATCCGGGTCCATCACATGCACGCCAAGCCCGGAAGCCGCGTCTGGCAGAAACACACATGCTGTTGAGCAGACATCCTTCTGTCCGCTGGCCATGGATGCTATCCCGTCCCACCTCGGATGGTTCGAGCATGATAAGTAAGGTCATTCTTTCTTCACCACGAGATGCTGCTATTGATGCACTGAATGCGGATTTGGTCTAAATTTCATTGCTGTGCCTTTTTTATGATCTTGAAAGAGATCGCCATTGTGAAGCAGGTGTTGCGATACTCTTGCATACCTATGTTTGTGAAAACAATACTAGCCGTGAAGACAAGCCGCTTCATACCATATCGGCCTGGGAATGAGACGATGCAGTCGGATGCGTCCTCATCAATTCCACCCCGAAACGTGATGGGACTTGACGTCGATGTCAGACTGAAGCCATACAAATCCGCAAGCGTTGCGAATGCTCGTTCAGCATTTTCCCGAGTGTGTTTGACGAGCATGCCACTGAGAACCAATGCACTAAGAACTTGGAAAATCTTGGATCCGAAAATTGTCAACTCGAACTTCAGCGGCGTGATTCGTCCCAGGTTCTCTGACTGGGACAAGCTGGAGATGGCCACGAAGCTCAAGGCAGGCCCCGCAACGATTAAGAGGGAGCTGACAAGCAAGGCGCTCGCAGCACCTCGAATGTTTTTGTCCCGGGGCGACATCATACAGGCTCGTCCAGCCACGCATAGCAAGCAACAGCATTGCCACAGCAATACCACCAGAAAAAGGACAAGACAAAACCGATGCGCAAAGTCATCTGCTCGGAGTGTCGCAGCAGCAGAGATGCCAAAGCCAACGGGCAGGGATCTCGAAAGACAAGATGATGATAGTCGCCAGCCTAAAGCCTGGAGCTTCAAGCTGGTCACGTGCATCTGCGTGATAAGGCACAGGATTTCCCATAAACTCATCAGCTTCACCACGTCAACGACACTACGTAAGCATGCGACCACGCTTTGGTCGCATCCCGGGAAAGCCAGCAAAAGGATCAGCCGCCAGGCCCACACCTGCATCCTTGATTTGTCCCAATCATGGTTTTCATTGTTGAGAAACCAGTAAGCACCAAGTCCAGTCACCAATGGCCTGGCAAGTCCATCGAAGGTAAACCCACTCGCCCAAATATTGGCAGCCACACGTACCAAGGTGTACACTGCTGTGGCCACTTTTGCTTGCCTGATCCTGACCTGCCTTGTTCTTCTCAGGGCGCTGTCGGGCATTCTACTCATGTCTGCCACGGTCCGCGATGGGTTCTCAGCAGCAGCGGGCCTGGCAAGCTGAGCGAGCTCAACTCCTTCCATGGCTCCTCTCGGCGCAACGAAGCTGAGCCAGGAGAAGGCGGCTTTTGGTTCAGGTCGTACCCGAAACCCTAAACCCTAAACCCTAAACCCTAAACCTTAAACCCTAAACCCTAAACCCTAAACTCTTGGGCTGCCCTCCTCGGCTCTTAGAGCTAGGGTTCTGGGTTTACCTGGGCACCCCCTGTGCCTCAAGAAGAGCCTTAACATACCCTTTTGAGGGTCTTGCGGCTTCAAACCCTGAACCCTGAACCCTAAACCCTAAACCCTAAACCCTAAACCCTAAACCCTAAACCCTAAACCCTAAACCCTAAACCCTAAACCCTACCCAGGCTCCTGCCTGTCCGGCTAAGGAGACGTCGCCGGTGGTCCGTGACCATGTGAAGCGCAAGCTGGGGACCCCCAGCGCTATGCACTCAATGTCGAGGAGTCCTTAGTTTCTTTGGGGTTTGGGGTTTAGGTTTGGGGTTTAAGGTTTAGGACTTGGGGTTCAGGGTTTGGGGTTCAGGGTGTGGGGTCTACGGTTTGGGGCTGAAGGTCAAGGATTTGGATTGAGGCCTAGGGCTTAGGGTTGGGGCTTTAGGGTTTAGGGGTTTGGGTTTTTACTTTCGAGTAGGCCTGAGGAGTCGGGTTTCTAGGTGCTTCGGGTTTGGGGTACAGGGTTCAGAGCTTAGGATCTATGGGTGTTTCGGGTGTGGGGTTTGGGGGTCAGGGCTTAGAATTGGCTATTGGTGTGTAGGGCTTGGGGTTCAGGTCATGTAAGCGGTCGGACCTAGCATGGCATACGGTCTACTTGAACAGGTTTCAAGCTGAACATCTTGGCACTTTGGGGTAAAGGGGTTCAAGGTCCATCGTTCATTGAAGAGCTTTTTATGGGGTTATAGGGTCCTTAAGGCAGGGGGGTTCATGGGGAGGAGGTACCATAGGGAAGCCTAGGGAGCCTGAGGGAGTAGTGGGGAGTATTGGAGAACCCCCTTAAGAACCCTACAAGCTTGGGTTTCAGGGTTGAAGATTGAGTTCAGGGTTCAAGACTCAGGGTCAAAGGGTTTAGAATCTCTAGGGGCTCAGGGCTTGTTCAGGGCTTGTGGCTTTCTGGCTTACATAGAGTGTGTAGGGGCTTAGTGTTTACAGGGTGCCTAACATTGATACAAAGGGCTGAGGGCCTTCGCTTGAACCCTACCCTTTAAGCATGTAAAAAACAACTGCTGAAATCCCGAAACCACTTCTAAAGCCTTTTAAAGCCTAACCCTTGCAACACACTAAGGCCTGGAAAACCTTAAACCCAAGAAGCCTTTTAACACACCAAGCCCTAAACCCTTTAAACCCTCAACCCTGAACCCTAAACCCTAAACCTCCTTAAACCCCCAAACCCTTTAAGCTTGCAACCCACAAGCGAATAGCCCCGCAACCCCCCCGATTTGCGGTGGGAGGCTGGGCGCCAGGGCGGCCGGAACCACAAAGGTCTGACCACCTTCAAGAAGAAACTGGAGGTTCACACTTGTAGAGGTTTACAAGGCTTGGGGCGCCTTAGGGCTTAGGGTTTAGGGCTTAGGGTTTAGGGGAGGGGGGGGTTCAGGGTTTATGGCTCGGCTTGAGTTGAGGGGGTTTACGGTTTAGGCAACCCGCCCTTCCCCACACCCCCTTCCCTTACCTACCCCAAAACCCCAAAACCCCAACCCCAAACCCCCCCAAAAAAAACAACAAATTCCCAAAAACCCTGAACGCTGAAACCCTAAACCCGACAACCCTAAAACCCCACGTCCCAGAGAGGCCCTAAACGCTAAAACCCTAAACCCTAAAGCCCCACGTCGCAAAGAGGCCAAGGGGCTGGTCAGGTTCTCCACCACCGGCGCACCCAGCTCGTGACCCGGGCGCGTGTACCAGCGGAGCCCGCTGCCTGAGGGTCTTAGCGGAGGCTGTAGATTCCTTTACTCACTCTGTTTGTTGTGAGATAGATAGATAGATGGATGGATAAGTACATATATATATATATAGATATGTATGTTATATGCATACACGGAAAATATGCATATGTAAAAAAATATGTGTGTGTGTGTACGTATGTAACATCCGACCTTGCACAGTAGTCTACCGAATCCTGGGCGGAAGCTTTCGTGAAGTCCTTGGCCCGGGGAATCAGGAGCGCGCAAGCCCAAGCCCCTTACATCCCTAAACCCCCATTAAGCCTAAACCCTAAACCCTAAGCCCCACAAACTCACAGCTGCTTTTCCGGAAATTTTGAAGCTCCCAAACCCTGAACCCTATCCAGGGCTTGCGGTCTTTGGATCTTTGGAGTTCGTTGTCCCAGAGGTAGGGTTCGCGGTGGAGGGTTTAGCAGATATAAAGGAACATGCTATACTGGAGACCTCCAAACAAACCCAGAAACAGACCTACCCGTGATTTAGATCCCCCATGATCCCCCCCAAACCCCAAAACCCCGAACCCTGAACCCTAAAGCATTAACCCTGAACCCGAAATCCGAAACTGCAGCCCAGGGACCAAGAGCCTCCTTCAGGCGAACAGGGACGATCGCCTGGCCCAGTCGGGCGCGCACCACACCTTCGTAGACGCCGGCCTGGTCTTCGGGACCAAGAGGAATACTTGCGTCTTCCCGAAGTCTACTTCTTACCCTAAACCCTAAAACCCTAACCCTAAACCCTAAACCCCGAACCCCCTAAAAACCCGAAGACCCTAAACCCATCTCGGAAGCCACCCCCAACGGCCTTCCAGAAACGCGCGCGGAGCGCGACGAAGGCGGTGCTGCTGACTTGGCCCGAGGCGTTCGAGGCGGTGACCTGGCACCAAGCAGGCGGAGAAGGCGGAGACCGCAACACCCCGACACCTTAAACCTGGACCATTCGATCCTACATCCTAAACCCTAAACCCTAGACCATAAATACTAAGCCCTAAACCCTAAGTCCTAAATCAAATACAGTAGGGCTTAGGGGTTAGGGTTCAGGGTGACGGCCCTCTCCAAACTAAACCCCAAACCTCCAAAACTCTCAACCCAAGAAGCCAGGTTTAGGGCTTAAGGTTCCAGGTTTTTGGGGTCACCCCCTCTTCCTCCTCCTAAACCATAAACCCTAAACCCGAAACCCTAAACCCTAAACCCTAGCCCTAAACCCTAAACCCCTAAACGTTAACCCCCTAAACCCGGAACGGCCTGGCAGCTGCACCCGGGCATTTGAAAGCCCTGCACAGCACCCCAGGTGTCGTCCTTCTGTGCGCTCGTCCTGATCCGAGAGTTCCTACGAGCCCACAAGGGCTTAGGGTTTGCGGTTCAGGGTTTGCGGGTTTAGGGTTTGGGGCTTAAGGTTTGGGCATAGGGTTGGGGCTTAGGGTTGGGGCTTAGCTAGGGTTTAGTTTTTTGGGTGTGGGCCTTAGGGTTTGAGGGATTTGTGGTTTTGGGGTTAGGGCCTCAGCCCAGCTTCTAGTGCATTTCGTGGCTTAGGGTTCAGGGTCTGAGGTGTCGGGGTTGAGGATTTAACGTTTGGCGTGTTCTTGTTTGTCTAATTCGGGGTCAATTCGAGTTCCGACGGATTCCGACACTTAAGCAGCCTAAGCCCCAGCCCTAGACGCTAAACCCTCAACCCTAAACCCTAAACCCCTAAACGCTTAAACCCCTAAACCCCAAAACTCCTAAAGACCCTAAAGCCCCAAAATCCTGTAAACCCCTAAAGACCCTGCAGCCCTAGAGCCCGCAGAGTCCCTGCAAGCCCTCTAAAGCCCTAAAGCCACAAACCCCATAAACCATATGAACCCCCTAAACCCTACAAACACAACTCAACCCTAGAAACCCTATAAACCCTAGAAGCCCTATAAACTCCACAACCCCCCAAAAACAAACAAACTAAAAACCCCATAAATCCCCCCAATAACCCATACAATCCCTTGGGCCCCCTATAAACCCTATAAACCTCATGAAATCCCTGCACAACATTCTGAAAACGCTACAACACCCTATGAAACCTACAAAACTCTGTAAATACAAAAAACTGCAAAACCCTACCAAAAACCCTACAAGCCTTGAAGCCCACCCTAAACCCTAAACCCTACACACCAAACACCCTAAACCCTAAACCCTAAACCCTAAACCCTAAACCCTAAACCCCCCCTAAGTGCGACGGGGGCTTCGAAGCCGTCAGCTTCCCGCTTTTCTTCCGGATCGACAGCCAGGAGCAGGTTGGGTCGCACCAGAGTGCGAAGTTGCCTTAGAGGGCTTAGAGCTTTAGGGTTTTTTGGTTTTTTGGTTTTAGGGTTTAGGGTTTAGGGTTTAGGGTTTAGGGTTTCGGGTTTAGGGTTTAGGGCTTCTAGCACTTTAGGGGATGTTTGGGTTGGAGCAGAAGGTCCCTGGACCCACAAGCCCTACGCCACGAGTCATGCGGAGGAGACGCCCAGCTCCTCTTTGGGGCTGCTCTGCACTCCTGGGTCGCTCAGCAGCCATAGTGCAATAAAGGGTTTAGGGTTTAGGGTTTAGGGTTTAGGGTTTGGGGTTTAGGGTTTAGGGTTTAGGGTTTAGGGTTTAGGGTTTAGGGTTTAGGGTTTAGGGTTTAGGGTTTAGGGTTTAGGGTTTAGGGTTTAGGGTTTAGGGTTTAGGGTTTAGGGTCATTTTATGAAGGAACCGAGAACCCCAAACAAAAATTAAAGGGCACCCGCTGTGGCTACCGAGACTCTCTTCGCGTCCTCCGCTTCCTGCAGATCGTCCAGGCCCCAGGATTTGAACATCACCACCGTACCTTGCCACGGCGGGGAAGAAGAACTCTAAGCCCTACACCGTAGACCCTAAGCCGTAAACCCAAAAACCCTAAAGCCCTAAACCCTAAACCCTAAACCCTGAACCCTGAACCCTAAACCCTAAACTCTAAACCCTAAACCCCAAACCCTAACCCCTAAACCCTAGACCCTAACCCTAAACCCCAAAGACCATATAAGCGCTCCACCCCCAAACCCAACTCTTTCCAGCAAGGAAAGAAGGCCCAAAGATCGGTTGGGTGAGCAAAACA